GCTGTACTCTCTTTTCAAATATTAAGCAAAAATTAATGGTGTTTTCTGTTTGTTGGGAGTGAACTACAGCACAGTACTTGAAGAAAATTGCGCATACAAAGACACATGAGAGTTGTACACTTGTTTTCTTCCATACGCAACATTCCAGCGACTTCATCGGGTGATATATAAAGCTGTGGTTTTTACCCTCAGGCATCTTTCTTTCCTCATAGCTTAGAACCCACCAAACAGCCACCGACGGCCGCACCGACTACCCAATGTCTCCGGCAATCCCCTGGAACTATCCCTTTTCCGTGATCCCACCTAGCTCACCCGAAATTGAGCCATCGATCCTTGCCGTCGAGACTATATTGAACTACTCCTTTAGAGACAAGAGGTTGCTGGAGGAGGCTCTCACGCACTCCTCATGCACCGGATCGCCCTCGTACCAGCGCCTCGAGTTCATCGGTGACGCTGCGCTCGGTCTCGCGCTGAGCAACCACATATTCCTTGCTTACCCGGATATCAACCAGGGTCAATTGTCGCTTCTTAGAGCGGCGAATGTAAGCAGGGAGAAGCTGGCTCGAGTGGCCATCAGGCATGGTCTTTATCAGTATGTCATCAGGAACAATGCCACTGCTCTTGATGATAAGGTATTCGATTTTACTCCCCCGTATTGAAAGTTTCTATCTTTCCCTCCCAGTTTTCTTTGAAATCCAAAGAGAAGTTTTTTTGTTTCCTTTTCATTTGTTTTTTTAGTCCCACACCTTTTTTCAAGACCAAATACTAATAGGGATTAAATGTTCAAGTGTCAGGAAATTCACAAGTGGGTTTACTTATAATTTTGAAGGTTAGGGAGTTCGCTGCAATTGTCTGCCAAGAAGATAATGCAGTTGCACATGGTGCATCTATGAAAGCGCCTAAGGTTCTGGCTGATATTGTGGAATCTATAGCTGCGGCTATCTATGTTGATGTCAATTTTGATCTTCAAAGGCTCTGGATGGTGTGTATTTAACTCTTCATGGATACCCTTTTCTTGTTTCTGCCTAATTACATTTTAAAGATTTCTGGAGTTGTGATTTAAGTCATTGTTGTTATGTATGTTTGTAGATCTTTAGAGGTTTGTTGGAGCCTATAGTTACCCTTCCGGACTTGCTTCATCAACCTCAACCAGTGACGTTGTTGTTTGAGCTTTGCCAGAAGGACAGAAAGAAAGTGGACATCAAGAATTGGAAAAAGGGGGCAAAAAGTATTGCTAGTGTGTATGTAGATGGTGTATTTGTTGCCTCTAGCTCGTCTGAACAGAAGGAGGTTGCAAAGCTTGCTGCAGCTAGATTAGCCTTGGATAAGTTATCAAAATCTCTATCTGCTAAAACTGAGGTGCTTGATCTTTCGGTTGAGGAAAATGGATCTCTTGAGATTGAGGGAGCAAAACAGAAGCTGAATGAGTTATGTTGCAAGAAAAAGTGGCTGAAACCCAGTTATAGGTATGAACTTATGCTCTCACCCTTGAGATTATGCTGCTAGCAAAATGAACATGAATATGCATTAACTTATTCATTGCTTTGCTTCTATTATGTTATAGGTTTTTGTAACTTATTGTGGCTTCTATCATGTCTTATCTTTATAGTTTCTTTAAATCACATAAATAATTAAGTTTCATAGTTTTCTGAGTGAAGGGGTAGAATGATGAGATGGATAAAGGCCTATGTATTTATGTTATGGAAAATTTTAAAGATACTTCAAAGTTTTCTTTGATCGCCTGACTAAAGTTAGGAGGCTTGTGCTAAGCAAGACTACCTATTTTAAAATGCCTTTTTCTCCTAGAAGTATGTTTAGTTTCATTGAATTAAAATGACTAGTTTATATCCAAGATTCTTTAGAAACTTGAGGGTTTTGGTTTTTCAATATGATCTGAATTCTAGCATTTTTCAAGGCATTTAGTTCAGTCATCATTACTTGTCTTTATGGGACATCATCACTGATGCTAGTTTATCACTAGTTGCTGCATATTGTACCATATTTCTTAGAGTGTTGAAAAATGCCGTAAAAATTTACTTTATCCTTTGTTGTATTTTGACTGTAAGCTTTAAGGAGATGAGCCTGAGGAGATAAGTTTAGAGACTGCTGGTAGCCTGGAAGCCAAATTCAAAATATATGCATTCCATCAATGTTAATCCACTTTAACTTCTAATTTTATTTGATTAATGTCACTCTTCAATCACATATGCATTTGGTTTGCCTTTGCCCTACTTCAGGGCTAACTTCTTGCTAATTCTACTTCATCTCCATCAATATTCTGTTTTAAAAAATATTAAATCCTCTTTTTTCCATTCCATTTTGCTCGTTTAACTTGTAGCATTGAGAAAGATGATGGCCCTCCACATGAGAAGAAATATGTATGTGCAGTTCAAGTTCCAACTGCAGATGATGTGCTCTACATGCCAGGATATGAGAAATCAAGGGTGAAGGATGCTGAGAACTCAGCAGCTTCTTTCCTGATTCGTGCCTTACAAGAATCTAATTATCTATGATTCTGTCCTCTCTTTGCAAGAACCTATAACATGGTTGCTATGGAGCTCTAGATCATCTTACCATAAATGCATAAATTTGAGAAACTCAGCCTTGTTTCATGCCTTTAGATGTTTTTCGTTATTCAAAATGAGATCAAACTACTAGATCAGCCATGAAATATGTAAATAGTTTCTTGTGCCTCATTTTGTGAGATTGCCAAAAGGATGTGTAGTTGGACTTGGATCAGACCTGTTCAACATTTTCAACTGGCGTCGCATTTGATAAATTGATCAAGTTGTTCTATTTTGCCTTCTCATGTTTTGAGGTGATTGAAAAGGTATATAACAAGTCTTGGATCTTTATTTCTCACACTTTTTTTTTCTGAAGATGAACTTGAATGGGTAATTGAGTACATTCAAGAATCTTCTGCTTGTATTTTGGATTCATAAAATGGAAGAAATACATAGCATGCTGAACAGATCTAAAGAATGCTATCATGAATCAGTAAAATGTTCACCTTGTACATATAACATACACCATAGGATTTCACAGGTACAGACTGGGGAAAAATGAATTTAGGGTGAATTTTTCACATAGGTTCTTGTGCAGAATGTTGTTTCACTGATTTTTTATGCAGGACATTAGAGGATGATTACTGGTGATCGTATCTTGACTCATGTTCTTCAATTCAAGGAGCTGACAATCCAAGAATTTGCGATGCTTCCGCAAGGGTTTCCCTAAACCTGGTTAGGTTTATGTTTAGGTCTTGACCATCAACATAAATGGCCCTGAAAGAAAAGTATCCTTTAGCCATTATTGAGGGTATGTCAGTAAAGACGGGATCATCTCTTGCATAGGTGTTGATGAGAGAACTCTCCTCTGGTTCTATCTTGTATTCCAAGTATTTCAGACCCATTTCGCTTGCTGGCATCCCATGGTAGGTAGTCGAAGCCCACTCGAGTCCCAGTGGCACCACCTGAACCACCACTGCACCTGCAGGCAAGAACAGCTCACTTGTCAGGCCGGCACCATGAGCAGCAACAATACCGGTGCAGGAGTTAACCACCCTGGAAAACTCGTCCAAGTTTGACATCATATCAGGCAGAACCACCACAACCTGAAAGCCCAATTCCTCCATCAGCCTCACCATCTTATTTTCATTCAAAAACCTTCGAGTTTTTGGGCGAGATATAAGCACCAACACTGGCCTTTTGACCTCTGAAACGCTTTTTATTTTCAGATTGTATGATTCTTTGAGGAATTTCCTGAAATCAAACATGGAATACCCTCCTGGAATTTCTGTGACATTGAGGGTTAGATGGCCATGGTACATGAGCCCTATGACAGCTCCTGGAAAGCAATGAACTCTGCCATCTGCTGCTGGATCTATTGCTTCATAAGGGGATAATTTATCTAGAATCCGGTTGTACTTCCTTACCCACCATGACTGGTAATCAGTGATGATGAACTTGAGGCGTGACTGGAAATGGAGGCAAGTGAGGAACAAAGGGAGTATAATCTCATCAAATTCATGATACATGTTTCCAACGAAGCCACCAGAAGAGAAGATGACAGCTGTGACATTGTGAGTGAAATCACAAACAGGTGGGGTGATATTTCCCTTCAGTATCTGCACTGCTGTGACAGTTTTCATCGCATTTGCATCTTCCTTCAATGGATATGGCTTGACAAGTCTTTCAGCTTGGGATTGATTTGAACTGGAGGGAATATAAATTTTCAAAGCTTTGGTGTCAATCCTGACATGTCTATCTGCAATACAGACATCCGTGTGAAAATCTGAGTGGCAAGAAAATCTCTCAGATTCAAATGTGGTTCGATCATCTCCTGTTTCATTGAACATCAACATCAGAAACAATAAGAAAAGAGAAGTTAGAGAGAAATAAAGTCATAATATTTGACTTTGATAGGAACAAACAACCTCTCACAAGTCTTCTCAACTGAAACTCCTGAGAATCAACTTCTCCAAGGATGTCTTTATCTACATTTTCCCTGATGGAACTCCCGCTCCAGTCTGTCATCTGGTTCCTCCCTGAATTTCCAAGAGAACACGAGATCAGCCCAAATCAAGGAGAAAACTACAAAAACAAAAAAAATCCTAGAGAAGAAGATGATTACATGATTCAAATGGGATATCTTTTGATGCAAAAAAGGTTGCATAAATCAAAGTGATAAGAAGCAAACAGCCTCCTAATGTTAAAGAATTCAGCATCCTCCTTGGTTTCTTCTCCATCTTCCTCAAGCTTTGTTCAAACTTCTTTTGCTGCAATTGTGATTGAATCGATGCGTAAATGGTTTTATTTGATGTATAAAACCAATAACAGGGAAGCTTGCGCTGCATTCCTTGTATAAAACTATTTCTTCTTTTTGCCCGGGGTTTTGGTTGGTTGCTATTTTTAATTGATTAATGCTTTAATCATGTGGTTGCACAGAGTTTAATTAACTATTATATAAAGCTGTTACAAAAATCAAATGCTTAGCTAGCATGTTTAATCTCTCTCAAACCTATTGATCAAATAACTATTAAAAAAGTACTAAACTGGGAATCGTGTCCAACTATATGTTTGTTGAGATTCGATGGAATCTAGAGAAAAGCTAATTTTTAAATATTAGGCAGTTAAAATAGAGTTAAAATGGCTCATTTTTTATGTAATGTTATGATTTTTTTAGATTGTATCATTATTTTTTCTTTTTTTCTTTAATTTTGAATTGCATAATATAAAATAATGTTTTCTCATACTTTTACCCGTAAAAGTAAAACTCAAAATTATAATTTCTTATTTCACTTAAAAGTGATTTTACTATAATACTGTGTGGATGATTAATTTTTATATTGAATTAATTAACTACTTGATATTATAATAAAAATTTAAACCCTTATATTTAATCTCTAATAAAGATTTTTTTATGTTATTGTGTACCATTTTGACCAAACTGTCATATCATGATTCAACAATACTATTATCAATGCCAAAGCTTAACTACTATAAAAAAAATT